CAAATCGTATCCCAAATATTTTTCTTTATCCCAATCATGAAAATTAATTTGTTGAAATTTTTCGATAGAACATCGCTGTGTTGTACCAATCTTTTGACTACAAAAAAAATGTTCCCATTTTTTATTTTGTACAAATAGCCCAATATGAAAATGTACCAATCTGTACCAAATGTACCAATCGAGTGCCACTGACTTAAAAATGTATGCAATTTAAAAAAAAAAATTCAACAAATTTTCGTAAAATTTTCGAGTTTTTTAATTAGATTCTGAGTATGCAGTTTTGTAGCCCATTGAATTCTAGTAGAATAGAGTAAAAGTTTCAAATGGCTATAAACTACGGTTGATTTTTTAGAATTTTTAAAAAAGCTCGAAATTTGTACGAAAGTTGGTTAATTTTTTTTTTTAATATTGCACAAATTTGGTAACATGGATTTACACGGGTTTTGTTAAAGAATGAACTATACTCTTTTAAAAAAATAACCAAAATTAAATAACAACGAAAATGATACGTTAATTTTTTGACCACTGTATGTATTTTTTAATATCTTTAATTGGAAATGCACATTGTACGTAAAGGAAGTATATAACATAACAGAACACCTGCAACCCCTTATCTATCTTTAGTACTTTAGATTCCTATAGGGTTGTTACCTGTCTAAAAAATTATTACATGCGCATTGTTCGTTGGATTACAGAAAGAGGGTGTCAAATAAAAGGGATTGGCTTTTTGATGTAAAATAATGTATTGCTTTTTGAGTAGGGTTGCCTCTTTTTTTAAATGATAAGATCTTCACAGTTTTTTTGACTAAAAACTGAGGTACCAAGTGAAAGGGTATATTCTCTGCAATAATGTGCAATAAGTTTTTATTTTTTGTTTGAGTGGGGTTGCCACCCATTTAAAAATTATGTATGTATAATACGCGAGGGCATTTTTTGTTACTGACATTAAATTTTCACAGTTAATTCGATTTAAAAGAATGGGGTGTCAAATGAAAAGGCTTGACCTTTCGATTTACAGTAAGGTTTTATTTTTCGAAAAGGGTTGAAACCAGTGTTGCCAGAACTTTTTGGGCCGACCGGCTAGATTGGCAAAAAAAAGCGGCTAAAAACGGCTAAAATGTTTTAGTGAAATTTCACATAGACTCTGGCAAAAAACGGCTAAAATGTTTTAGTGAAAATTCACATGCTTTATTTAAATAAATCGCAAGAAACGAAAGACTAGTTAACACCATTAATTTATATCGAGTGTATATTCCTCATCATCAAATGAATCACTATTGTATATATCACCTGAATTCATTAATTTTAAGAGATCGTCATCTACAGTAAAATTATGGCAGCATTTTTCTTCACGTTTTAAACCGTATCTTATATATAAAATAGCGTTTAAAGTTTTAACGCACATTGGATTTCTTTGCTTAGTTTTTATTATATTCATTGAACTAAATATTCGTTCTACTTCTGCATTACTTATAGGCAAAACAAGAAAACTAAAAACTAGGTTGCAAAGGTCAGCAAAAGGGTTTTCTCCTAGGGCATTTCGAAATTGATAAACTTCGGCCCAAAATTTTACAGTTGAGTCTAAATTACTCCAGGTATGTAACGTTAACCGCTGCCATTGCATCTCTATGGATGTTATTTCGTCGGCATTATATTTGTGGTTTTGTTGCTGTAGTTGAACAAATACTTTTGGTTTAATTACTCTTAATGCATTTCCAACCGAAAAAAGTCAATTTTTTTTAGTGTGGCAATATTTGTAGGGAGGCGTTGGCGTAATTCCTTTATTAAAGTGATAATAAAATAGCGAGAATTTTCTCGAATTATTTTCTCGGCTTCGTGGTCAAAAGCGTTTGTGCTTACTTTTGTTTTTAAATACTCTTCAAAACTGTGATAAAACTGAGGAAATGGAGCAAGGTATGGTTCCAACGGGGAGCATAT